ATTTATCCCTCAAAGTACATTACCCCTTGCATTTGTCAACACAGAATTCATTTCACTGTGCTGCCCGTTTATCCAGTTGAATCATTCTAGAGTTCTTTGCAGTTTTTTTGTTTCGTTTTCAGTTAATACAGTTTTGAGTGTGCACACAGCGGGCCTCAAACATCCGGTCCCTTGCTGCCTGGCTTTGGGTGTGTAAGATTGCTCGTCGCTCTGTCCCTGAGGTTGTATAGCCCGGATGTCTTGCCCCGGGGTAGCCTCGGGGTAGCCTTCACCCCAATCTTGCCTGCCACAAATTTGTTCATTCTTTCAGTGGTGGGGTCGACTACTAGGGCATATCCGGAGTCGGGAATCTTGGGGTGACGGTCTTCTGCGAGGCTCCAACCTCCCCTACACCTCGCCCTGATACCCAGCCTCGCCCAGTTGTTGACATCTCTGGGCCCGACCCTCGCCTCTCGATGTAATGGGCACTCTGATACAGATATAAAGATCTAACCTGACCCCGAATCGAGCTGATTATGAGACCCTCTGCAGCCTTCCTTCCTACCCCTCCAAAAGTGGGAAACAGAACAACGAAAATTAAGAAAAACACTACCAGTAAAAATCCCTGGCTTCAAACAAAATGGGCTCCCTGGCCTTGAGAATTTCTCACCCTATTAACTCTGTCTTAAGGCACCCCTCTGTCTGGCTGATATCCCTCCTGAGTGCCGAACGGGACTACTACTGGTCCCTCCAATTCAACCCCACTCTGTCCCTCGCCGAGCAGCTCAAACTGGTAGGAACTTGTTTCCTGCAGCCCCTCCCGCTGCTTAGGCTCTCTGCACCCCGTCAGGGTAGACTCTGGGAGCCTTCCCAAACCTGTGTTGATTCCACCTGGATTGCTGGGTCGACTTCCATCACCCTCTCTTCGGGGCCATCTCTGCTGTCGGCTTCTTCATCCAGAGTCCTTGGATTTTCTCCCTTGACTCTGTCACTGTGAATAGGGGCATCCACCACCTCACCACTGGCATCCTCCCTCCGACAGCCTTGGGTGCAGCCTCTTGCCTCGTGGAGGGTCGTCTGGATCCTCCTTGCCCCCGATCGGGGTTCCAAGGGCACCTCTGCTGGCAGCTCTGCTCCGGCTCTCCCCGCTTCTTTTTCCCTTGGACTGCCTTTTATTGTCCCGCGCCAGGTCCGCTCATAATTCTCCGCAGCTGGCTGCAGTTTCAAAAAGACGTGGCTAATCAGCCGCGCGGGTCCCGCGGCCTCTTCCGGTCTCACCACGGCATCAGCTGTAGGTAAGGAATCTCCATTTCTTTTTCCCTTCCCTCACCTTCCCTGTTGTGTTTTGGGTCCTGGGATTCCCCCTTGGCCCCTTGGGGTCTTTTCTCTGTAGTTTCCCTGTGACATAACCCCCCCCCCCAAGCTGCCTTGGGGCATTCCATCGAGGGTCATCGTCTCCCTACCTGGTCGGGCCTGCGTGTCACCTTGTCCTTGTGTCATCTTGTCGTCTTGTGTCATAGTCTCACACCTAGACAGAAAATCTGCGGTTATATTGTTAATGCCTGGGCGGTGTACTATCTGAAATTTAAAAGGCTGTAAGGCCAAAGCCCATTTCATAATTCGTGCATTATCAGTCTTTGCTGTTCTCAGCCATCGTAGTGGCGCGTGGTCCGTTATTAACGTGAACTCTCATCCCATTAAATAATACTGAAAATGGTCTACAGTCCACCATATGGCCAGGCATTCCCGCTCAATAGCGGCATACCTTGTCTCTGCTGGAGACAACTTGTGGCTTGCATAGGCCACTGGTCTTTCCATTCCCTCACTCTCTTGCGTCAGTACCGCCCCAATGGCCATCTCTGATGCGTCTGTCTGTAACACAAAGGGTTTTGTGAAGTTAGGAGCAAGTACCATCACTTCATTGCACAGGGCCTTTTTTAATTGTTGGAAACTTCTCAACATCTCCAATGACCACTTCACCCCCTTTTTCCCTGGCCCCTTCAACGCGTCAGGTGATGGTGCTGCCAGGTCTGAAAAATGCGGCACGAAGCGCCGGTAGTAGTTAACTAGGCCTAAGAACGATCAAAGTTGTTTTGGGATTTGTGGGGCTTGAAACCCCCGTATCGCATTTCCGGGGATTCACAGTGAGTCCTGCATTCCGTAATTCTCCCAGCACTGCCCTTAGGGCCTGTATATGATGGGGCCAGGATTGCATAAAGATCACAATATCATTGATGTACGCAGCCGCATAATTCACATGAGGTGCCAGGATTTTTTCGATTAGGTGTTGAAAGGTCACTGCTGCCCCATGCAACCCAAATGGCATGCTCACGAATTCGTAAAGCCCCCATGGCGTTCCAAAAGCGGTCTTGGGCCAGTCTCGTGGAGCCACTGGGATTTGCCAGTACCCTTTAGCTAAATCTAAGGTGGATATAAATGTGGCTGATCCGATCCTTTCCACCAATTCGGTGATATGGGGCATGGGGAAAGCGTCAAAGATGGCTATGTTGTTCAGGCGCCGGTAATCAATACAAAGCCTCAAGGTTCCATCCGGCTTAGGAACTGGAACCAATGAACTTCTCCAGGGGCTCCTTGATGGTCTAATCACTCCAAGCCCCAACATCTTCTTAATCTCTTTATGTATTTCGCCCATGAGGTGATGTGGTATAGGCCTCCAACGGTCTCAAACAATGGTGCTGGGAGGGGTGCGGATTGCATGACTAACCCCTTGCGCCCATCCCGGCTCCTCTCGGAACACGTCCCTGAATTCCTTGATGAGGGCCCGGATCATCCATCATTGTTCCTCGGGCAGCTCTCCTCTGATCGGAATCTCCCACTCTAGCCCCTCTGCTCTTCCCTCCACCTCCTTTCCCTGGGGTCCAAGGTCCTCTAATTCTTCCTCCACAAACGCTGCCCTACCCTCTGGTTGTTTCCACTCCTGGAGCAGGTTGATATGAAAAATCTGTCTTGTCCAGCGATGTCCAGGCTGGTATACCTCATAATCAACCCGTCCTACCTTTCTAATTATTTCAAAAGGACCCTGCCATTGGGTCAACACCTTGCTCGTGGAGGTGGGTAACAAGACATGGACCTTTTGCCCTGGTTGGAATTCCCGTCCCTTAGCTCGCACGTCATGCCTTTCTTTTTGTTGTTGCTGGGCCTGTTATAGGTTTTCCGTAGCGATGTCTCGCGCCAACTGTACTCGGTGTTGAAATTTTGTCAGTAGGTTGATGTCTCCATACCTGGTGGCGAGGGACATTCCCAGTCTTCTCTTAGCATCTGGAATAGTCCTCGAGGCCAGTGCCCCAAGACTAATTCGAACGGAGAGTACTTCAGCGATTCTGACGGGGAGTCCCTAAGAACAAAGAGTACCAGGGAAAGGAGTAAATCCCATTTCCAGGGTTCTTTTTGTATACACCTGCGAAGAACTCTCTTGATGGTACCATTAAGCCTCTCAACTAATCCATTCGTTTGCGGGTGATACATGGATGTGTGCAATTGTTTTATTCTCATGGTCTGACAAACCGCTTTTAATACCCCGGACATAAAATTGCGCCCCTGATCTGTTAGGATTTCCCGAGGGATCCCTACTCGAGGGATCCCTACTCGGGTGATCCATTTTACCAGTTCTTCCGTGATCTGGGGCGTGGTAACTGTTCTCAAGGGGATTGCTTCTGGATATCTCGTTGTGTAGTCAACTATCACTAGTATGTACTGATTGCCCGTGCTGCTTCGCGGTAAGGGACCCACTATGTCCGTTGCAATCCTGGAGAATGACCAGCAGAGGTTGTAGAGTGGCAGGGCGGGGGCGATCCTTCCTGGCCTTTTGGCACTCGGGGCATTCGGCACATTGTCGGGCCACCTCTTTCCCTAGTTGCAGCCAAAAAAAATACTGGGTGATTCTAGCAATCGTTTTATCATGGGCCATGTGACCCCCGGTAGGGTTAGTATGGGCCAGCCACCATATGATCTTCCTAAAACACGAGGGGACTACTAATTGCGTCCTTTCCGAGCCTCCCGCCCCTTCTCCCATTACTCGGTATAACAACCGATGTCTTACCTCATATCTGGGGTATCTCGTCGAGGCCGAGGTCGATGCCTCATCGGGGTTCTCTGTCACGGTGGCATGCAATTCGTGGAGTTCTACATCTTCCTTCTGTGCCTCCCGGAACTGTTGACTACTGACAATGTTCCAAAAATCAAGTGTCCCTGAGTCGTTTTCCGCCTGTCTGTCCTCCTCTGGTTCACCCCACCAACCTTCGGGCTTCCACAAGTCTCGGCGATTCCTCTCTACATCACGGACCCTTTCCAGGGTATCATATAAGGGGCCCAAATCTCGCCCCAGGAGCATATCGCATGCCTAACGAGGGGCTAGACCTACTAGAAGTTCCCCTTGATGCTCCATCAGCTTTATCCGTACCCACTGCCGGGGAATGGATTGTGCCTCCCCACGTAGGCAGGAGACTCTCACCGGGGCTTCTTTGGGACCCGAACCAGTTGTTACTAAGTTGGCTCTGATCAAAGACTGGGCACACCCTGAGTCGAGGACAGCCCGAAGTGGACAGTTGTTAACCTTAATGCATACCGTTGGTCTGTCCCAAATGGCACTTTCTCCCCCACTACCGAAGCTGCAATTAATTGGTTCCGTATGCAAGCTCTCCTTGTAACCCCCTGTTGCTACCCGAAGGATCTGGATGCCACCTCTCGCCTGCCCGCATAGGGCATTCTTTGGCAAAATGCCCCATTTTCCCACAATGGAAGCAGATGATATCACGGTTTTGCCCCTTGGGTAGGGGTCGCTGTCGTTCCTGGTCCTTTGGATACTGTTGGGGTGGTGCTGTTGCTCTCTTATCCTTAGGGTAGTACCCTTCAGAGGCGGCAAAGGCTTCCGCCAGTTTCAAGGCCTCTTCACAGTTTATCGGGGAATGTTGTTGGACCCACCGTTGTACGCGCTCCTCCAGATCGTTGAGAAACTGCTCCAGGATGATTTGGTTTATTATCATCTCCCGGTCACAGGTCGCTAAATTTATCCATTTCCCAAAGGTGTCTCTCAGATGTTGTAATAAAAGTCGTGGGCGTTTTTCCTCCACTCCCTTCTTGGCTCTAAACAAGTGCCTATAGTATTCGGGATTAATTTCCAATCGATACAATATAGCTGCCTTCATGGCCTCGTAATCTCTGGCCTCTTCTCTGGAGAGCGCCTGATAGGCCGCCTGGGCCTTTCCTACAACCAAAGTGCCCAACTGGCTAGCCCAATACCCCTTATCCAGCCCTGTTAAGATGGCATGTCTCTCGAAAGCTTCTATATAGGCCTCCGTGTCATCCTCGCTTGTCATGCGGGGCATTTTAAATGACATAAGACCGTGTCTCAGCCATTCTTGTTGTTGCCCCAGCATTTGTTGCTGGGGATCCACTACCTGGGTCAATATCTGTAAATTCTGGCCCAACATATCGGGAGGGTTTAGGGCCGCGGGTTGCATTGTGTGCTGTTCTTCCTCACCTGGGTTTTCAGATAAGTTCTCAGCCAATGCACCACTTTGCACCCGGTGGGCTTCAAACATCCGGTCCCGTGCTGCCCGTCTTTGGGTGTGTAAGATTGCTTGTCGCTCCGTCCCTGAGGTTGTATAGCCCGGATGTATTGCCCCAAGGTAGCCTTCACCCCAATCTTGCCTGCCACGAATTTATTTGTTCTTTCAGTGGTGAGGTCGACTACTAGGGCATATCTGGAGTCGGGAATCTTGGGGCGATGGTCTTCTGTGAGGCTCCAACCGCCCCTACACCTCACCCTGATACCCAGCCTCGCCCAGTTGTTGACGTCTCCAGGCCCGACCCTTGCCTCTCGATGTAATGGGCACTCTGATGCAGATATAAAGATCTAACCTGACCCCGAATCGAGCTGATTATGAGACCCTCTACAGCCTTCCTTCCTACCCCTCCAAAAGTGGGAAACAGAACAACGAAAATTAAGAAAAACGCTACGAGTAAAAATCCCTGGCTTCAAACAAAATGGGCTCCCTGGCCCGGAGAATTCCTTTCCCTATTAACCCTGTCTAAGGCACCCCTTTGTCTGGCTGATATCCCTCCTGAGTGCTGAATGGGACTACTACTGGTCCTTCCAATTCAACCCCACTCTGTCCCTCGCCGAGCAGCTCAAACAGGTAGGAACTTGTTTCCTGCAGCCCCTCCTGCTGCTTAGGCTCTCTGCTCCCCGTCAGGGTAGACTCTGGGAGCCTTCCCAAACCCGTGCCGATTCCACCTGGATTGCTGGGTCAACTTCCATCACCCTCTCTTCGGGGCCATCTCTGCTGTTGGCTTCTTCATCCGGAGTCCTTGGATTTTCTCCCTTGACTCTGCCCCTGTGAATAGGGGCATCTGCCGCCTCACCGCTGGCGTCCTCCCTCCGACAGCCTTGGGTGCAGCCTCTTGCCTTGTGGAGGGTCGTCTGGATCCTCCTCGCCCCTGATTGGGGTTCCAAGGGCACCTCTTCTGGCAGCTCCGCTCCGGCTCTCCCCGCTTCTTCTTCCTTTGGACTGCCTTTTATTGTCCCGCACCGGGTCCACTTGTAATTCTCCGCAGCTGGCTGCAGTTTCAAAAAGATGCGGCTAATCAGCCACGCGGGTCCCGCCACCTCTTCCGGTCTCGCTGCAGCGTCAGCTGCAGGTAAAGGAATCTCCATTTCTTTTTCCCTTCCCTCGCCTTCCCTGTTGTGTTTTGAGTCCCGGGATTCCCCCTTGGCCCCTTGGGGTCTTTTCTCTGTAGTTTCCCTGTGACAGAGTCAACTGAGTTACCCACTTCATCTACCTTATTTCTAGATCATTGCTAAATATAGTTTTTGAATATACCAGTTCAAATAATAGTTTTTTTGAGCCACATGTCAGATCGTTTTTGCCTTGTTGAAAAACAAGCATATCTTTCTACATTTCTTTTTTTGTTAGCCAGTTGTCAAATAAATCAGGATTTTGCTTTGTTTCATGACGGCATACTTTCTTTAATTGCTTTTTATAAAGGATTTTTTGACAGATAAATAAAATAAACTTTTTTTTTCCTTTCTATTCTTGCTGAATAACTCAATATGTGCTGCTTGTTTAGAGAGTCATAGTTTCTTATGTAGTGCAGCTGTTCAGGTTTCTCTATTTCATTTTGTGACACTAGCCATAATGGCATGGAAGCACTAAAGGGACCTTCAAAAGTGACCTATGCCTTCTTATATTCTAACTTTTTCTGATTTGTTTATGCAAGAACTCTTTTAAAAGCTATCTGTCAGTTGTGTTAGTGCTTACAAAACAGTTCTCAATTTTTTGTTTAGAAATTACTTTGCTTTAGAATAAATCTCCAAAACACTGGGTTTTATTAACTTTATACAATCTGAGACAATACATTACAAAGATGTGATCAGTGGAACCCACACACACACTCTTACTTTTACTACCCAAAGCTTCAGGGAACCTAAGACCCTGCTTGATGACCCAGGCCCACCTCTTATACATTTATGAAAAGGCCACTCCTGCACTGCTGTACTTCTGGTTTCTTGAGAGAAATTGTATAACCCATTGGTCTTTCAATGAATCTTAGTGCCTGTCCCATGTATTGCACTGTAGTTTCTTATCCAGCTAATCTTGTCACAATCAAGGAGATTTGAAAAACAAATATTCCAGTCTATGTATCTGAATGTAATATATTTTTTATTTATTTAAATAGCTGGGACAATAATGAAAGAGAGAGGATGAGTCCTTGGGACATGGAACCAATTCCAGAAGGAAGTAAATATGCTTTTGGATTCAGTTATAACTTCTGTATCTGTACAGATTCTAGAAGTTTGGCACTTGTAGCTCACTGTCTTTTAACTCTTTACGTTTCATGTAGCTGCTTATCCAGAAGAGATCGGTGCTGGAGTTCCTGTGACCCCAGAAGAACTAACAGCTCTGCTGTACAAACCCCAAGAAGGAGAATGGGGAGCCCATTCCAGAGATGAAGAATGTGAACGAGTTATTCGGGGAATTGGTCAACTGCTTTCCCTTGGTATGTTGGGCAGAAAAGAAACTGTGGCAGTGTCACAAAAGTCAGTATGACACTAAATGACTCTCTGAGGAGGAGAAATGTCTTAAGAAAATAATTATAAATAGCTTTTCTTATTCTATAAGGTACCTTCCAAAGGTACGTACCTGTTTCTAGTGCTTAATCGTGCTCCCCTTAAAGTTAGTAATAATGCCTTATTAACTTGAGTGGGAGTAGATTCTAGTGATTAATGAATAAAATTCTTTTAGGCAAATAGTCTAGTCTCAGTTTTTTAAATTGTTATTTAAATACTATTAACTCAGAAGGAAACTGATTTACAGTTTTGATAGTGGGCACCTATGCTGCTACGTTTGTGTGAGATGTTGTTTTTCAGCGGTAATGCTGGATACTTGAATGGAAGGCTCGAATGCAGTTTTTAACAAAAAATGTGTTTTGAAATATAACTTACAGGGAAAATTATATTCATCCCATAGGCATTCAGAATGGTTCATTGACCAGATTTTCTGTTGCGTCAATCTTTAATTATTGTTGAATTTCCCTTTTATAAAGAACACAGTTCTAAATGTCATGATCTATGAAGCCTCATCTATAGGTTTTTTTTCTCTTGTTTTTAGAAATTGCTAACCCCTTTGCAGTTCCAGTGGATCTTAGTGCCTATCCCATGTATTGCACTGTAGTTGCTTATCCAACTGACCTCAACACAATCAGGAAGAGACTTGAAAACAGATTTTATAGGTCAGTTTGATTATTGGTTTCTAATTTTATGTTTACTATGCATTGTGTTATGTATTCCTTTTTAAAATTGGAATGATCTGCTTAGTTCCATGAGCTGCAACCCAACAGATAACTCCAGTGAATACTGTAATTTATTGTAATGTAGTAAATCCCTTCAGCATGTGGATAGTATAAGAATAAAACTCTGTACAGCATCTTTAAAGAGTAAGTCTTGATAAACAAAATTTCTCTTTTGATCAGAAGCCAAAAGTAGATTTCTGAATTTTGACTGCTTCCTCCAGCTAAGAGTTTGTACTGTTCTCTCTTGCTGCAAATATGAGAGAGGGTGGATTGACTTAACCACCTCTCTTCTGCTTTTGTGCCAGATTCTTTGTCTTCTGTACAGCAAGCACAACTGATTTAGTATTATTAATTTGAAACCTATAGCATCTCAGTTTTTATGATCTATGTAGGGGTAGCCATGGAATGCTTCCTTTTCTAGCACCTGGTGCTTTCCCTGAGAGAACAAAAATTTATCAATTTTCCATTCCAGGAATGGGATCACTTAGTAATTCCTTTGCTGTGCTTGTTTCTACCGTATGTTCTATGCCAACGTGGCTGATCCTTTAGGTAGCAAAGGGCCAACTAAATGGAGGCCTAGTGCCTTGCCATGTGAGGTAACCTGTCTTTTACTGGAGCTAGGCTAACAGGGGCTTCTTTTCTAGCTAAGTTTCATAGACACAGAAGGAAAGCTAACAGAATATTTCCCTTTTCAGGAGAATCTCAGCATTGATGTGGGAGGTACGATACATTGAACACAATGCTAGGACTTTCAATGAGCCAGATAGTCCTATAGTTAAAGCAGCCAAAATTGTAACAGATGTCTTATTACGCTTTATTGGGTGAGCACTTTTTGTTTCTTTATAGTCCGATATTTCTGAGTTCGAAAAAAATTTCTCAAGTTAATTTTGAATTTTCCTTTTTCCAAAGGGATCAGAGTTGTACTGATATATTGGAAATATATAACAAAGTGAAAGCGGAAGACCTAAGCAGTACAGATGAAGAGGAGGAGGTAAGAGCAGGAACATAATCACCAGAACTTAATTTACTCTGTTCAGTGGCTGGAAGGAATGAGTAAAGAGTTTAGTAGGTATTTTTAAGTATCACTTTGGCTTTTGATGCAAGGTTGTTTATGATATGAAGTGGTATAGCAAGGCTTGATTAATACGCTCTTGTCATTTAGTAAAACATTATTTGAAGCTGGTTGGTCATTGGATTTTCTCTGATTGCATGAAGTGTTATTCTTATAGAGACAGGAAATGCTAATGAGAAAGGAGAGGAGGGAATAAAATGGATACTTGTAATATTACTTTGTTCATATTTGCAGTCTTCCCAACCTTCAAAGTGGCACCATAATAGATTTTGTCCTCTTCCGGGACTGGCTAATAAAATTGCTTCAGGGTTAAAAATTATTTCCTTTTTAATCCTTTCTAAAAAGTGCAGTTTGTAAGACCATTGTATAGGGGTGCATGGATAAAGATTTTCTTGCCCAATGCTGATAGCCAATGATTAACCAACCATATCAACTGATGCTGATCCGATTACCCTGTATTTAGTAATAGGGCAAGGCATTTTAAACTACTGACATAAATAAACTTTTTTTTGTTTACTTGGTTTGCGTTTTGTGCACGCACACCCCCCCCCCAGCTCCGGCCCTCAATGAGGAAGGTAGTGTGACCACCTTTTCCCCATGCATGTCACTCCCTTGCCCATGGCTCCTCCATGCTGCCACCCCGGGCGGGCGGGGCGGCCTCGTGTGCAGACAATGGTGCTGGGCACATTTGGAGCCCCAGAGCACGCCATTGCCTCAGTAGTGGTGGGCCCCACACAGCTGAGTTTCTGCAGCCACTGGGGAGAAGCCACTTTTGCAAAGATGCCTGGTGCCTGACAGAATGGAGTGTCACTTGTGCAGTGCCTTATCCTGTCTGCACACAGCCCAACATCTTCACGGCAGCCCTGGCTTTTGGGCCCTTGCTGCACTTGCAGTGTTGCCATGGTAGTGGTGGCAGCAGCAGGAGCTGGTAAAAGGGGTGCACCGATAGAGATTCTGGGAGCAGATACCAATAGCCCACATTTTTAAGGACCGTATTGGCCAATACTGATCTGATTTCTAATATAGCTGTGTGGCTGGTAAGTCTGTTGTGCTAGACAGGGAAGGGGGAGGGAAGGGATGTGGGGACAGATCAGTGCTCCCTGCGGTGAGGGAGGGCGGGGGCAGGGGCAGGCGCTGCCCAGCCAGGGTGGAGTGGAGGTGCAGGACAGAGCCGCAGCTTGACAGGGGTGTAAAATTTGGGGTGGCTGCAGCCCCCAACTGTGAGCCCCTGCCATGAAAAGCCCAGCACAGCCCCAGCTCCAGCCCTTCCCCACCCTGCCCCTTGCAGACCCGGGAGACCCCCCCCGCCTCCCCCCGTGCCCTCCTGGGGTGTGCGCAGCAGTTGGAGTCACACCCCCACTCCCAACGAGCCACAGCTCTGTCCTGTGCCCTGGCTATACAGAACCTGCCCCTGCCCACTCCCTCCCTTACCATGAGGAGCATTGATCTGAGCCCTGACATCCCTTCCCTCCCCTTCCACCACAACAGACTTACCAGCCGCATGCAGCTCTCCATGCTGTTGGGCTCTGCTCCACGCTGCCTGCATGCTGCATTGTGGCTGTGCCCACGCAGGGGCGTTTATCAGCCAAATTATTGGCCATATCAGGCTGATTTCCAATACAGGCAAATTTCTTTATATCTGTACTGATCCGATATGAGACCATTGTATCAGTGCACCTCTAGCCAATAACCATCCCTTGTTGCTGAGCGCAGCACTCTGTGACCTCTGCCTGGTGCCCCTTCCATTTCCCGCTGCTTGCTGGGACCTGTAGTCTGTCAGTGGCTTGGGCCACTGGTGGAGTGCGGGAACTGGATTGCGTTTTCCAGGGTGCTCTGGGCAACGTAGCCATAATTATTGGCTACAATGACCAAAAAAACCCCATAACTGATAATATCATTTCTCCTTTTACTGGTGCCGATCCAATAGCCAACCAATGTATCAGTGCACCCCTAATGTTGTAATTGTTTTCACATCTTTGAATGAAAACAGGTTGCTATCTGAGTGTCTGTAACAAATGAATAAACTTCACACATCATTCACAGCTTTTTATAGTAGGACAGAATACATGCAGTAGAATAACAACTCCGTGTGAAGGAAACACAAGATTTGTTTTTAGTCTTGCCTTAATCGCTGTTGCAGTGAACTGAAATTTAATACTTTCTGCAGCGGGAAACCCCTGGTGTCTAAACAGAGCCCATATTAGCTTCAGAGGTACTTCGTGTATTGTCATCTTAGATCCTGAACCTGCAAGGTATAGGTTTATTTGTCCAAACTAATTTCTTAATACTGAAATTAAGAAAATCAGTACCCCTGTAATGCCAAATTTAGGGTTCACTGTGCCCTTTTATGACCTCATGAGCACCTTTTAAAATGCAAAAAACAGAGTTTCATGAGTTGGTCTAAGGAAAGTGTGACCCTCGAGTAACACTTAGTTATTTTGTTTTAATTTTGCTTTAATTCTACATGCTGTCACTTGTGATTGAATGTAATCATTACCCTTTCCTTTAGGTGGCAGAAGTAGATGTGGATTCAGATGCTCCTGGAACCTCCTCTGGGAAAAGAAGAGTGAGTAAATAATTTCTATAGGGTTTATTTTATTTATGAGGAAGGAGGTGAAATGGTACTCGGAATTAACTACACTTCTTTAGGTCTTGAAAGGCTTAGCTGTACACATACTGCAGTCACTGTGACTGTCTCAGTGCATTACATTAAACATGCAGAATCAGGTCTTCATTTTGGTATGGAAAGTAATGAGATTGTTCAGTAGTTGTTACTCTCCTGATTCTTGGGCATCTATAACAGAGTATTAATCCAGTTTTCTGTCTCCTTGTGTTTCGTCAGTCAGAAGATGATGGAAATGGACAAAAATAGAATTTTTTTACTATATAAACATATGGTTTCTGTACTAATGGCCAGAAGAGGTTGTTAATATTAATCTTAACTATTAATGCTTACTCATTAATTATCATGGGAAGCTCTATAAATATCTCTTAAGATGACAAGGCATTCTGGTTTTTCTGAAAAACAAAGCTCTGACCCAGCCCTCCGGTACATGAAGTTATGTATGGGTTAAAGTTTGAGCACATTATTAGAATAAAGAATATATTTACATTATATTTCATATTCCATGCTGCTGTACTGTAAGCAGAGTGTTTTATTTATTTTTCAATATTTTAAATTATGGACTTAAGTTTTGAAGTATGACTTGAGCAAAATGGACAACAATTTTAGGCCGAAGCCAATAGGGAAATCTATATATTCTAAAAGGTAATGAAATAAAGCTTTTGTTTTGTTTCCTTTAAAATCTTCAGGTAAGACGGCCAATAAAAAGGCAACATGTCAAAGCAAGCCCTGATGCTTGGAAAGAGCAATGCAAACAATTGTTAAACTTAATTTACGAACGTGAAGACTCTGAGCCTTTTAGGCAGCCAGTTGATCTCTTTTCCTATCCCGTAAGTGTACTTTTTATTTCTATAAGTTAAAAAGAGTTCATAGTGTAATATTTCAGTCATAAGAATTCATATTCACCACATTGCTGGGCATGTTACTGAACTTTGAGTTCCCAGTCAGTCTTTCTTCTTTCACAAATAAATGTATTTGCTCTGAAAAAGTAAAAGAATAATAGCCTGGGATTGAGTCTAGGGTCAGTACAGACTGGAAATATGACCTGTCCCCCAATAATGCTCTTTCACTGTACTTCAGTCTTGCTTCATACCCGTGTACTGTTCCTAATCCCAGTTGCTTAAGTGAAAACTGCAAGAGACATCCTATTAGTGGTGCTGAGTGCAGAGGAAGTGGATTAACCTGTTAAACTCATTTGCAGCTGTGATGAAATGTGAACTCTAGAGCCATAAGTGTAACTCTTATAGCTAGAAAATTTAAGTTAAGTGAAAAATTGAAGCTGTGGAACAGTCTGATTGTTAGAGGGTTAGGATAATGTGAGAGGTAAGTGACTAAATGGGGTTGAATTAAAATGGGTGATATTCACTTATCACTGGTTCCCATCAATTGACTAATTGTTAATATATTTTTTAACATTATTCTCTTAGGACTACCGAGATATTGTAGACACTCCTATGGACTTCAGCACTGTGAAAGAAACTTTGGAAGCTGGAAACTATATGAGTCCTCTGGAATTTTACAAGGATATTCGCTTAATATTCTGCAATTCAAAAGCTTACACTCCAAATAAAAAGTCACGGGTAAGTGATACAGAATTTGTCCTCCTTTGAGTGATTCCATGTGCTGTGGGTGTGCATGCACCTCAGACATTCAGTAGGAGATATTTTGCCATAACAGCATGGCTTACAATAGCCCCAAACCTTCCTTAAGTTTTGCATCAAAGAACAAGAGGGCAGTGTGCATGCTTCCTGCTTTTTGGTTCTTCTCAGCCAACTCAGCACCAGACATAGCACTTAACATCAGCTTGTGTTTACAGCCAACAAGCTTGTTTGAAGCCTTCCTTAGAAACACTTCTTTCCACTGTTTTTCTCTCTGCAGTTATTTCAGTTGAAGTTTGGCACCCTTTTGAGTATCCCCAACCCTGTTTATTTTTTACTGTGCCACATGTACCCGCTCTTCTAGATGGGTATGTGGTAGTAAACATTTTCCGTCAAGCAGTTGTAGATGCTGTTGATATTGCCTTTGACATCCATGGCTACAGCTGTTATTATGAGACATTCCTTCTGGTTGCAAGGACTGTTTTTTCTTAAGTAGGTCCAAATATACCATGGAGTAACCTCATATCGGAGGGCTCAAAGCTGTTTATCATGAACACTTATCATGTGCTTCACATATGAAAGGATTTCAGGGATAGTTTTTGTTCCCTTGGAATTTATCTGCCAGGTCCCAAGATGAAACTGGAATATTAGCTGTATTCTATCCATAAGCATTTTTAGCATTCCTCCTCTACTTCTCCTGTCCTTGTGTGTCGATCTTCAGAACTGTCCAGAAAGCATCAGTAATTCCATAAGTACCAGTATTCCTTAGTTGCATTGGCTGTCTTGCAGCATATTTCAGATAGCAAGGCTGCACCAAATGATCTTATCTGCTCCTCTCTTCCCTTCAACAACCACCTGGCCGCCTTCCATTTGCATAGATCCAAATCTTTACATCAGACTACTTAGTTCTGGATATTGTCATGACTGGATATACTGTTTGGTTTGCTACCCATGCCAAATGCCCCTTCTCTGTCCTTTTTCTTAAAGACCCTTCTCACAAAACTTTGCTACAGCAGACAGTAGTCTCTGGTAGCCTCTGGGGCAGTAGAAGTACTCCTGCATCTCAGAGGACATAGATTCTCCAGTGGTTACTTCCTGGTTCCAAAAGACACAGGACATTTCATCTTGGATGTAAGAAAGCTCAGTGCCTTCATTTTCAGGCTCGTGTTCAAGGTGGCCTAGTGGTCACTAGGCCATCTGAGTAGTGGTGACCTATTGACTATCCAGAAGATAGTCTGTTGACTTACAGGATGCTTATTTCCATATTGCCGTTAGACCCTTGCATAAAAAATATCTTTGGACCTCTACCAGTACAATGTCCTCTTTGGCCTTTTGACAGTCCCACTTCATAGTTTCTAGGGTCGGAAGGGACCTGAGTAGATCATCTAGTCCGACCCCCTGCCATGGCAGGAAAGAGTACTGGGGTCAAATGACCCCAGCAAGGTATTCATCTAACCTCCTCTTAAAAACTTCCAGGGTAGGAGCCTGCACCACTTCTCTCAGAAGCTGGTTCCAGATCCTAGCCGCCCTGACCGTGAAGTAGCACCTCCTGATATTTAGCCTAAGTTCACTACAGTTCTCTTGGCTGCAGCCACATACCTCAGGAGTCATTGTCTAACCCTGTCTGGATGACTGACTTGCGTGACCCTAAAAACCACAATGTAGCTCTTCTGTACTCTGGGTCTGTCGATTAGCACAAGTCCAGTCTGATTCCTGGGCAGAGCCTTGAATTCAAAGGAGCCAAAAGAAATGGCCCTACTTCCCCCAAGAATGTTTCCAGTCCTTACAAGAGCTAAATTTGATCTTAGCCCACAAGAAGCTGGTTGAGACCTGCACCATGATGACAGTAAAAACTGACTCTCAATTCTTGGTCCCATGACTACCAGTTTGGTTTGTTGGTTTATTGGGATTTTTTTTGGAGAGGATGGGGTTGACACTGCATGCCAGATTTCACCAGGGATAGCTGCAAACTGGAGATTCCTACATTTCTGGGCATCATGTATGAGAGACAACATCATACTAATGTTTTATATTAGCAGGCAGGGTAGAGGGAGATCTGCCCCCCTGTGAAGGAAAGAAATCCTGTGGTCCTGGTACATCTTTGCATCATATACACTTGTCTTCAGTGAACCTTCCAGGTCTTCAAAATACCAAGCTAGACAGTCTCATCAGATCTGTCTGACTACACCATTAGTAGATCAGGGGCTTGGTTTTCTGGCCCATCCTTGCTGACTTGTGTGCGTAGGATGTTAACAGGAAGTGCTAGTCCTTCTGCCACAAGTAAAGCCTCTATACATTCTGCTTGTTCGGTGCTTTCCTTGTCTTCTGATCCAGAGGCCACCTGTATGGCTTCCTCCCTATACTTCTGATCCCACAGGATTAAGTGAGACAGAACTCAGTGTGAAGAATTCTGGTAATCCCCATATGACAGATAATTTTGACATAAGTACTCTCAGATGCAGGATAGAGGGAGCTTGCTTCACCCAGACCTTCATGTACAGTCTGGGTGCTAGATGACTCTAAAGCAAAGGGCTCTCCCTGAGTAAGGAACATCATTATTCACAGCAAAAATGACTTCACTAGATGTGAGCTATGGTTCTGAAGTTCAGCACTGAGGTCTTTGTGCCAGCCAGGCTACATGTTTATCATATTGTGGCTGAAGAGGACATACTAGTTTCTTTCATACAACAAGTGCATAAGCAGGACACCTGAGATCTCTGGCTTTCAGCTTTCTGATTTGACACTGAGTCAACACCACAGGTGTGTTTCCTGTGTTAAGTCACAGGTGTTAGTCTTTAAGACAGCAGCTTCATCTGATCTCAGAATAAAAATTTAGTGGAAGGATAAATCCTATGTAAGATATGGCCATTGTAAATGTCTATAAAGCTCTTCCAGTTCTTTTTTACAAGAGGATGCCCTACGTGATTGGGGTAATTCTTATTCCTTCTTGGAGGGTATGGCTGTGCATGAATGGACATCTGTGTGGTTTATTACTGCTCTTTGACAGTAAAGAATCAGTCGCTTTCCAGTCTAGATGATAGGGTTCTTTTATAGACTTGGCATGGGATTCAAGGATTTCCATAGTTCTCATACACTGTGTCCTTGGGTTTTTTTCTGCACTTCTGTTCTCATCAGAGAGTTGCCTCTGTTTTTTCCAGTCTAGACATCACTAATAGTTGGCTGAAATTTTCACAGAAGTCTTTAACAGACTTTCCAGCCAGTTCACCACCCTCCCCTTGTTTTGGGTTCTTGCATTCTGCAGTGCTATTGTTGGAGTTTCAATGTAAGCCACCTTTCAAGCCTGTTGGAATTTGGAATTCAGGTTGGGATAAAAAAAGTGAACATCTCCCTCAAGGATTTAAAACTGATTTAAAATAGGATTGTCAGTGACTGGAATTTCAGGCTGGACAGGGTACACCAGTGGAGGTCACGTGAGATTCTGGAAGAGGTCAATTTCTTGCGCTCAGACCAGAAGCATTGGCAAACACTGAATTGTCTAATCTGGGGTGCTTGGCCTCTGGCTCCAGATCATCTGGCTCATGGGGTCTGAAAATTTGGCAGCGGGGAGGTGGTGGCACTCCTCTGCTGCTAAATTTTTGGACCCATGAAGTGCCCTGCAGCTGGATATCATGGCCCTGCTGCTTCCAGAGCCTGTTCCTGGCAGGCAGGGATGGCACAGGCCTCTGGGACCCCACCTGAGTGTATGGGTCCTGGCAGAGCAAGTGCAGGACCTAATCTAGCCCATAGACCTGCTCTGCATTGCTCGTCTGGCCCACAGAACCAGAAGATTGAGCACCACTGGTTGAACCAGTAAATCATGTGTTTACCTGGATTTATTTTGAGACTAGAGATTTATAAAAGTAATTGATATGGATTGAGGCCCTGATTCAACCTGTCAAATTTTGTGAACTGAAAAAACCCATCAGGAGCCTTCCATCCTGAACACCTTGCTTCTGCTGGCCCATATTGCTTAAGCTATCTTGTATTATGCCTTTCTTCCAGCTGAAGTCTACATTTGTAGAAGGCAGCAAATATAGTCACCATCCTCAAACATTAAACTGGGATTACCCTTGTAGCTATAACCAAATTTTCCTGCTCTCTAAGCCATTTAAACTTGGTATGTGATTTCTGGAAGAATTAAACTCATAGCAGAAAACCTTTTACTGAATGAGTAAGCCAGCTCCTGCCTGTGTTGTTTCATTGAAGATCCACTATTATCTGCAGCAGATTACACTGAATTATCTTTTGAAGCAAAGGAAGAACGTGGGGCAGTTTATTGCAGTTTATAATTCAGTATAGTAACATGTTTTGGTATTGAAGCTCTGATAATTACTCACAGGTTCATCAGCTTATGCACTTCATAGAGGAGTTTCTACCCAACAGATTTTTTGGGTCCTTCTCAACAGTTGCATGAACCACAAAGAATGGCATTCCTTAAGGCTCTGAACATGACACACTCTTTCAATTTCTGACTTGGATTTCTGACAATTGTTCAATTTCTGACAAGGAAGCCAAAGCTGATGTGTGGTGATGACTTCCTACTTTTTTGTGCAGGCAGGAGTTTTGATGCAATAGAGACAACACTTGTCGGTGGCCCACAGTCTCAGAAAAAAAATCTATAATCAGTGGTATCTTTGACTTAGTAAGCAGAAAATCAGTTTCCTCAGTGTTTCACTTGAATAGGCATCATTACGCATCACATCAACTTCTTTCATGCTACTCTGCTCCAACTGTACAGCTGTTTTTCTCTTTTGTCACTTACCTTGATAGGATACTAAAGCCCCTGACAGATGTTAAAATAATGGTGCAGTTGGGATCAGAGAATTTTATGCCCCATCCCAAACATTGGATGTCCATTTGTGCCAGATATGCGATGTTTTGGGGTAGGCATAAAATTCCTCATATCTCAATTGCACCACGGTAGAGCTGCCTCAGTCCTCATTCTGCAGATTGGTCAGGAGGTGATCTGTCCTGGACCTTGG